CTTATATATTTATTTTTGGAGGCCATTCCTAGGAGTTTAATTGGTCAAAGTATTATACAAGTGTTTTTTATTATATCTGTATCTTTTTTACCTTTTTAGCTTAGTTTAATACTTAAAGTCGATGTCCTTTTGATCTAAAATGTTTATGAACATTTCCATAGAATAATCTAAATGTCATTTGGGGTATACTTTGCCAGGTGGAAAGAGGTTCCTTTGATAAGGAAAGTCGTTCAATTCAGCTTTATGTAATATCAAACATCGGGTGAATTATAAAAGCTTGTTTTAAAGTGTTTTCATGATTCATAGTTTAGACTGAGTTGTGATGGAGGCATCAACAGAAATGAGAATGATAACTGAAAACATATCTGGCTTCTTTAGACATGCCTATCGAATGGCCTTCAAATACCTAATCATTATATAAAAAAAATTTTCTAATGTTACACGGCTAAAACTAATTTTCAGGAAGTGCAGGACATAAGTTTCTTCATGGTTAGTGATATGGCGAGCAAAACAGGGTAGATTACTTACACGTTTACGGCAGTACATTATAAGTCCAAGTTGCTTATTATAAACAAATGAGCTATTAGTCTAATAATGAACTACAAATATCCATCAACTGAGAAAACTTTATCATCCAGCTTTTGGAAATAAACATTCCGATCCAATTATGGTGTGTTACTACACAGGTGAGTCAATTTAACGTCAGGTAATTGGCACTGGCTAAAACTAGACCACTGAACACAACTGTTTACAATAGCCGGAAAAGGATATGTTCAATCCCAAACCAAATGATGCGCATCACTCTAGATATTAGAATTCGAACTATAGAGTGTCAGTCTCATAGATTTTATTAATGAGCTATTTAGGCTAGAAATAAATTATTGTATGACTGAGATGTCGTTTCTTTTGTATATTTATATCTGTGATCTTGAAGAAGGAACTATAAAACATGACTTTAATGTAACTAATTTTACGGAGTTAATCAAAAGTTATCAAAATATCTAGGCCATAACAATCTTATAAGTAATAAGTACTATTGATGAATAAACTATAATCTATTTACCAAACATTTAAACTGATTAAATTACAAGCTTTAATTACTGACTTCATTGCTCAATGTTTAATGATATGTTTATTTTTTTAATGTGTACAGATAGAAATAAACTATCTGCTTTTCAGTTTTCGCTGATTCGTTCAAAATGTATGAATCAATTAATACAGCATAGTTACAACAAGAAAAAAAAATGGAATGAAAACTTATTAAAATTTGACATCTTTATATTCAAGAGCTTTAAGTCTTATTTCAGTAGATATTCAGTAGAGTGTTTAGGAAATTATCTCCATCTAGTTTATTTTTATGATTTAAGACATAAGTAAAAATGCAAGGAAACTTATTAGAAGTCATCAACATCAGCTACTAAGATGGTGTTAAACCTTAATTTGATTCTGATGGGATATATGGCATTTTAAGATGATAACACTTTGGTACTAGCTTTAATGTTAGGGTGCGAACTGTGTGAACGATCTACAACCCCATATGGGACCGAACATAATACCTATGTATGTCTCAGCTAGAATGACCTTATTTAGGCACTGAATCAAAATATAATGATCTATAATTTCTAACCAAAGTCACTTCACCAGGCGTTCATAGGATATCCTCATTCATTCCCATTGTCTTTGCCTGCAACAGCGTTCTTTTGGGATTCAGTGAATTGCAAGCTGAAGCTATTAACTGCTGTCCTCATATTTATTACCAAGCGTGACAAGGCGTTTTAGATTTTTTTAAATAATTTCAAGATAGGTTATAACAATAATCTATTTGAAGTCATATGTAGGCAATACTGAAAAGCTTTAAACTGGAATATACAATAGAAATGCACTTAATATCATCTGTTTCTGGAAAATCACAGGATAATGTAAATAAACATAACACTTTTGGGTTACATTCTGTACATATTGAGAATCTTCAATGTAACATTGAAAAGTCACAAGGCACTGGTTAGGTATTTCGTCCTCATATGAAGCCAATCATGACTCTATGAAAAGTACTCTACTAAGTTTTACGGAAAAGACATTGCCTTTAGATTAGTGAGTTAGAATCCAATAACCAATACTAATAAAATTAGTCAAAACTGAGGAGTCCTGTTTTAGAATGGGACAGATATTCAGTGCTCCTTCATGTTCTATGGTACTCCAGACGATGTAAACCACTGATACATCTGCAAACTGATAAATCTCTACGAACTCACCTAATAATCGTAACATATACTGATAATTATTAATTGAAGTGGATAATTATTTGATAATGTTGTTCATTGTACTGCGTATAGGTGTTCGTGTAAGTTGTGAAATAATAATGATATGAAGTCAGTAATCAGAGGTGACTATCTGAAGGAAAGTACATTAAAGCATTAATAATAATAGTAACTTTTGATAGTGTAACAATAAAACAAGGATCATCAGAACTATGTGATATATTACTGCAACAATAACTTTCTCCAATGCTATAAATGTTGTTATAGAGCGGAATTTTCTACACTAAATAACGTTAATAACTACAGCATTTCCGTTTGATTTTTCTCATGTCTAGTATTGTAATAGTTTTTAGTCCCTTTATAATAGCATGTAAGTACATAGAGTTAGGAGTCAAAATTATTACGTCCAAACAAATCTAAAACGTGAAGTTAAATTGAAGTATATTCACAGTTAGAAAAGAGGTGGGTCAAACGCCTGGGCAGGGGGTCTTATTACTGTACATTATGACAAGAAGTAATCTTCTTGACTAGCTATTAGTTTAGACACAATTACGATCACTTATAAATCATCCATCCTAATTATTACCTAAGATATCAAGATGATCGAGTATTAATAATAATAATAATAATAATAATAATAATAATAATCGTGTTTATCTATAATTGACATAACAAATGAATAGAAAGCATGGATATCATGTGAATGTTTACGAGGAAATTATAAATAATTCAATTAAAGCAGTTATATTTATTGCATAATCACTTTCACTCCAACACGTGAACACATAAACTTGTATACATACGTTTCACGGAGGTGAATGAATCAACACTAGTATCTTTAACGTAACAAAAATTTATGTTCAATAATCACCATGTACCGAAACTTGACTCTGTAGGTAACACATATGTGTCTGTTTAATTCTTTAACAAGGTATCATGGAAATATAATTCACAGGTTTTATGAGATTGTTTTTAATTAATAAGTATGTTGAATAAATCGCTAAACATATTAGTGTATCGCTTTTTTGTGTACATATCTACTACTTCTTTCGTAACACACGCAAAAATACAGAAATACTTCAAATTGTGCTTTAAATTATGCATACTTTAAGAGCTATAGAAAACAAACAGTGAAAAATCAATTCATCCATCCCGATAATAATATTCCTTAACAATAAACTATAGAAGTTAGACAACTAATACTTAAATACTTCAATATTGACTTTCTGAACGTTTGCAGATCCCCCTTCAGAATTTCTGATACTCGAATCTCGAGCAGTATGGAAAGGATTTCTATTTCCAAGATTAGTTCATGTACAGAACACAAAAACAATTACTGGATAACATGTAACTTTAAAGTTCTAGAAACTTTTAGAAAACATGTGAAGTCAGAGATGAAATGTCTAAACATTCACTAAAAATAATATAATCCATCGTTATCTAGAATTCGTTTGGAATTTCTATAGAATACCTTTAATTGATAAAAATATTTTTAGTATTTTCCTGTCTTCTGGAGACTTTTTCAGAGTTTTTGGGGTTCCTGATCAAAACTCATTATTTGTACCATGTAGACCTAATAATTATATACGCAATCATGATTTAGTCCAAACTTATGCTAGTATTGATAACTAAACAAGTTTTATGAGTTTCAGAATCCCACAAATGAGAATCGTATAGATTCAAAATATTGCATTTAACGATTTGTGAAGCTTGTACCTTTTTGAGGCTAATTGTTATCATGAATTATCAGTAGTACCCTTCGGCTTTCTATAACTAATCAGCTGATATCGGCTGGTTTTAGAAATTGTTTTCATGAAAAAAAAATTTCTCCAAATGAAAATCATGTGGTCATCAATCACTGACTTGTAGTAAGAAACCATTACTGGTAAAGTTCAGTTTATCGCCGATTACAATGAATATTCGTCAAGCCGTCTTTAAGAAAACAAAGTCGAATTCACTGATCACTGAATAATAATTCCGTATCATACACGCTAGAAGATTTGAAGGTGTTTGGCAGGATTTGTTGTGAGGTCAAGAGTGGTGCAAAGCTAGTAAGTCCCAAATCAAAATTACTCATACCCGGTTTTCAACAGCATTCCAACTGGTATCAGCCCGTGATAAAAACTAGTTTTCAGTAGTAACATCCGATTAATGGAATTAATTTGTTTGAAATTATCTTGTCCGTTCTCATCATAGCTATGGAATGTATCTCATTTGTATAATTCCAGTAAGTACAATAACACTTTTAGATGTACAGGTTTAAATTATAGAACTTGTACTCCAAATTTTATATGTACCATTTTGTTGTCTATTATCATCACTAACTCTTTGTCAGACTTTGAAGAATAGTTCTGTTGAGTTCAAGCTCAAAAATAGAAAAGATGCAAAGATGAACCGGACTAATTATAAATGAAGCCATTATGATTTAAATACTATTGCAAAACAAACAATTATCAACAGCGTAGAGCCTGATAAACAATGTGTTGGCCCAAGTTGTCATATCAAATTTACATAACAAGATGAAATGAACAAGATAATTAGAAAAAGAAATTGAGATGATGTAGTAGTAGGTGGCAAGTGTCAATCGAACTTTCTAGACTACATGAAATTGACTGTCATCAAACAACTAACATTAAAACTGTCCGTTTAGTTTTTTTTTCCTCACCGCATCAATCTTAATGATAATTGTATAATACTCATTATTAGTTACAAACTGAAAAAAGGTACTATTATTATTACTACCTGTATTCCAAGATCTGATGCTCGAATTTCGGGATCACATAATTTTTGAACTTTAATTTGTAAGTTACTGAGATCCGTATTCCTTTAAATAATAAAAATATATAAATAAAACAAGATTTTGTATAAAATATTTTCAATTATCCAGCAAGGTAAAATTATTAATTTGAAAGTAATAGTTGTTATCAATGTTACTGAGGCTGTTAGATTATTTTCAAAGGTATGATACTATTCAGTCATTAAATTTTGAACAGCTAACATCAGTCTATTATGAAAATTAATCTCGATAAATTAGTTTGTTTTTTTTTAACTTTTCGATCAGACAAATTATTTTTAGTAAATTTCTAATAATAAATTCATATTTTAGAACAGCGGATTTATGGTAAATTATTCAGTATAAAATCACTATTTTTAACCAATCCATTGTAGTGAGTATAGCATTATGGAAATGGTTGAATTTTGTTGAGATCATGAACCGATTAGAGTTAGATAATCATTGAGGATTTGAAACATTGGACAGCAGTCTCGTCCAGGTACGGGACTCTCAGAAGTGTACACCGGCAAGCCCACAACCATAGATCGAAACTCATAACCCGGGATCTGGAGGTTAGCTGTTCACGTGCGAGATCAAAGGTTCCGACTTTGATACGTTGTTGTGGGGTTGTGGATAATGCACTAATGAGGAATCCCATACTAGGACAAAGCGTGTTTCTAATATCCCATGGTTTTTAATCATAATCTCAATGAGATCAATCCATAACAAAATATCAGCGACATATTAAAATATTCTGCATGGAATTATCACATGTTAACCGCAATCATTCTTTCTTTAATTGGGTACAATTATATGCCTTTTGATGCATTGAAGTTTTGTTAGGGGTAAAAAATTGTCCTCATTAATTTGAGATAAATAGATCAACTGACCAAACATTACTCTTTACATATAATTATACTAAAGATGAAAACACAAATAAATAACAGTGTGATAAAATCTAATTTTTATAACTTTCCTTTTCTGCATGGAAATGATCAATTTTCAGTATAATAGCTAGGCAGTATGAAATAAAATGTAAACGCTGATTTGAAGGTGAATTCTTATGTCTATTCGAAGTGAGTAGTTTAGTGAGTTTACACTATCTTAAAAATAATAATAAAACCTACTTTCTAAACTCTGGAAAATTTCCTCATTTTATCTGACAATAAAACAAATTAGTCTTTGAATATGACATATCTGCCAGTTGACAGGCTTATTTATGAATTAATTGACTAAGGTTTATTTGTACTAAGCTTGAAAATCAGTTTACACACAGAAATATGCACATTGATGATCATGACAATAATAATAATAATATCAGAATGGGGATTTGTGGAGATTGTAGAAATTTTGCGAGTTGAATTCATGAGCCGATTTAAGCTAGACCGCAGTTTAGAACCTGGGAGCATTGGACGGTTGTTGCGTCCTAATATGGGTGACTCAGCAGTGGGAATCCACGACCACACACACGGGACTCGAACCCGAACCTTCGGTCTCGCGCGCGAACTCCTGACCTCTAGACCACTGAGTCGGCATCCAACGGTGTTAATGTTCTGTGTGTGAGATCGTGGATGCACACTGTTGAGGAGTCTCATGCTAGGGCGAAACGGCCATCCAGTGCTTCCAGGCCATCAGTGGTGATCTAGCTTAGGTCAACTCATGATTCCAACTATTAAAATGATAGTGATAGGTTAGTTAAACTTCGATTAAATTAATTATCGTCCATTCATGTATAAAGACAACTCTTTTCAAGCAAGAACTGTTGGATGGTGTCCTCCCAAAATATTTTAAAATGTTGAAAACTTGATAAGGAATACGAATAACGAAGTTTATTCTTGTCACAAATTCATATTAACTAGGTAAAAACTAGGAAAAGACTGAGCTCTGGCCGGCTGTTTCTCATAACTTAAGTAGTCTTAACAATGTGAGCCCACGATTCAGCTACTGATCAAGTACAAAATATTTAGGTCCTTCAGTGAAGGCATGAGCTGTAAAACACCAAGTTAGATTCCACATTTCGATCTTTACTAGATTCGCGAGACCGTATGGCATCACGCACTGTCGTGTGTATATATATCATCTTTTAACAAGACACGGTTATATTCATTTTTTCCAGCCTAGTCCAGTCAAACAAAATTTAATAATAATTTCTTCGCAGAATTATTAGGTCGTCTACTAAATTTTTGTGTGATTTTCTCATGAGAGAAGTGAATAATTTTAAAATGGATTTATTGAGTAAAATATCTTTATAGATCTTTAGACTAAACTATGATTGTAAGTTTGCCAACGAGTAGTGTCAAGACAAGTTTGTCAGTTTTTAACGAAAAGTTATAAGCACTTGAATTCAATAGTGTCTGCAAGAAGCTAGTTAACAGCGATAGTAATGGATGATAATAATATCATATTGTGAACTGACAGAGAGAAATATGGATTACTGGTAGTAACATGTTCATTAAAAAGTTGAAGATACTGTGTTCGATCATCGATGAGTTAATAGCTCTGCACTAGTGACGAGTTCCATACTAGGACAAAACACTTATTTAATACCTTCTGATTTTAAATACCTTAGATAAGTTTAGATCATAGTGATTATTAAGTGTAATTAATACTAATCTATTCGATACATTTGGTGAAACTACAAAATAAACCTACTTCTTACAGTTAAATTTAATAATTATCACTTCAGTTACTCACTTTATTTGTTCCTGTTCTAATTGTTTAATCACATGAAGATGTAATGGTTTAAGGATATATCGTTGTAAAGCTGATTCTAAATGAAAACCAACATTTACATATCCGAATTCATTTAACTAAAATTAAATTAATTAAAAGACAATTTATGATATGAATCGGTGAAGGTTTTAAAAAAGAATAAATTAGAATGTGTGTGATTAAGAAATCAATCAGATACTTTATTTTCCTCTTCATTTCTTTAAATAACACTACAGTGAATCATTTGTGGCAAGGACTAAAATAAGAGAATGAAGACTGTTGAATTTCATGTGAGCAATATCATGATATTGTACTTATTTCAATACCCGGAAGATTTTTATTTTTAGTGGATGTAAGGTTATAAGTTTGCAATCTTAAAGAGCCTAGACAAAGATGAAATAACTAATCTGTATTGTTTGGTGTTAAATGATTTCTGAGCCAGAATCCATTCAAAATGTGTCAGTTGTGTGCACGTCTGAGTTGTCTATGTTTAAATAAAATCATAAAACACATTTTACATTCAAATCGAACCTTATATTACCTTTGAAAATCTGGTTTATACATTGATCACATTACATTTAGACCAATACTTCAGAATCCGGTGGCTCAAATTTTAAGGGTTTCTTTTTGCTCTATAGCTCAAGGACCATCCTTGTTATTGACTTTTAAGTTCCCGGTAGGGCTAATACCGGTCAATATCCATTCGTGATATAAACTACCTTCTAATCGAACACATTCACATGAAACAAGAAAATAAAACGTGTTTGCTTTTTGGCCTCAGATTAGTTTGCACTGTTATTATTCACTTTTTATAAGATCGAAAATTCAGTGTAATTTTAACCTGTATTTGTGTATATACTAATGTTCCTTATTATTTCAGAGTTCTTCAGACGATAACTAACCTGTAGGTGCTTGCATTGTCCGAGTTATCATTAGTGCTTGAATGATATTTCTAGACCCCTTCCCTGAATATTCATATCAATCAATATAATAATTTATTTGGATATCTCTCCATGTTGTGGAAGTGGAATTTTCAAATACAACATATGAAGAAGAAAGTCGATCTTAAAATTCACACATCAGTTTAAGGTGTTTTTCGTCTAGTCAACTTTTAACGCATTTTTGTTACATTAAATTATGGAGAATGAATTCTTTTCATGGACTTATAGGACGTTTTTGCTTATATCGAATATTCGATATACAGTTAGTTGTATGATTTTCAATGCATTTTCGTTTGTTTTAACTCACTCGCTGTATTTTGTGTTCAATAACAATTGTCCCATTTGATGGAATTTCGTAAATATTAATCACTGAATAAACAATATATAAAGGAATAAACTTGAATATAAATTATTTCTTCTGGGGTCTCTACTAACAAATCTTCTATACAAAAGTGAAATTCTCGTTCTTATTACAAGACATGAAATCAGAGGATAAAAGTGGTCTAGTTCACTGTAATGAAGTTGAGATTACTAAGTGACTAGCTAGTAAACGAGCATATCACAATATGAGTAAACCAAACAAAGACAAATAAGACTACTAAACAGTAATGACAATAATTATTGGGATTGATAGAAAGATGTTACCTCCTTTTTCTCTCGTTCAACAGCTTTTGGAAGACCAAGATATGGATTCTTGAGGAGATAATTGGTCATACCATTGATGAATTGGCGAATCTATACAGGAAAAAATAAACTAAATGACGTAGTTAAGGAACAATATACATATGTGGAAAAAGCAAAGATGAAGGAGTCGATAATTGCTCCATTCAGGGTCATTTTTACATAACCAAATCTCTAGCGGATAGGTTTTCTAATTTTAATAGTTCGTATGTTTAACAACTTTAAAAGCTTGAACTAATTTTTTGAGCAAATATTTAATGAATTCGTAAATTCAAATAGTTAAATCTTTCAATGGTAATGTGATAATTACATTAGGACCTGTTCGGTCAATCAAATTAATATCAGAAATGTTTTCGATCACTTATTAACAACATTCTTGAAACCAAACGATAAATATAACTTAATTCAGTATCATATGATATTGTATACCGCAAGTGTTGAATTCATTTACTGATACACTTTAGTTAGCTTTAATGATTAAAGATGACTATCGGTTATTCAGTAGATATTCATTTATTTGATTACCGATGCTCAGGTGAATACCATATGAGGGTGTGGATAACAAGAAAATGGGGGTAAAATAGCCTTCCTAGATGTTCTGCTTACAAGGAGAAAAGATGGTTCGCTAAAAAGAAACATAAACAGGGAAATGACCTGAACGGGTCAATATACTAACTTTCTCAGTTCCGTTCCTCTACAACAAAAAAGGAACCTTATCAAAACGCTACATCATAGAATCAAGACTATATGCACTATGGATACGATTGGAGCAATCTTTTGCAATAATCTATCGTGTCAACAGCAGTCTACCTAATTCCGTCAGACTGCGAATCCTACAGACGGCTGAAGAAATCGCTATTCGGATCTAAAAGCCAGAGTTTTGTATCCAAAAGATGTATGTTCAGCCACTCCTTTTACCCTGGCCAACTAACTAATAATCAGTCTTATAATATGGTGACGTAATCTGATTAACGTTCATTTTATGTCCCAAACTTATTATTATTATTATTACTGTCATTATTACCATTATTATTATTACTATTATCGTCTTTACACTTGATAACCCCTTTTTGAGGAATTTATTCAATATCCACCCCCTGAATCTACTATATTTGACCTAATTATTCTACATATTACGTAATTTCTGATTTGTAATTACAATATTTTCTCTCTCACCCATTTGACCATATTTATTCTGATCATTTATCGCACAATTTCATTTCACTTATAAACTGATTCAAGTTAACACTTTATATTAAACAGCCCCAACATTAACTATCTGAATTGATTTTATATAACAAACAACAATGCTCAATTCACATATTACAATTTCCAAATGATTTACTCTGCCTTAAATCTGGCCAATTTTATGGATTATTAATTTAGATTTATGAATTGTAGAACCTGATGAGAAATTCATTGAAAAGAATATTCTTCGTTCATATTAATTGTGTTTTAATATAATGGGAATTTTTCAGCGATTATTATGATTAGTAAATCATAGACATTGTTCAATAGATTATATTTATACATATTCACTTACTGATTGCATTGTTCGATATGGACCACGATCACTGCTTGCTTTTGTACATTCTATAAATAAATTAATTTGTTCTGCTATTTGACTTTTAGGATTAGTCATTAATCTAAAATAAATAAATAAATAAATAAATAAATAAAAACATTTTACATGAATAAAGAAAAGAAAATAGAATAGAACGGAACGATGTAAAATTGTTATTTTTTCATTCCATTCTTGTTACTATTCCCTATTAATAATAAATATGTACAATGTTATTTTAATGATGTTTTTATTATAACTCAGCGTGAATTAGATATTTCTTAATGTTATATGATTTACCATTGGTAAATGATCGATTTAATTTGTATTCACTGTCAGTCAGATAATTGTAAACAATCTAATACCTGGCATGAATATTTGCATCGATTTAGGTTGTTACAAATCACAACAATGATAGAATGAAATTGTAAAATAATAATTATGAAATATATAGAGAAGATATCTGCATTAAATTAGTCGATTTTGTGGTATATCATTGCATTACATAACTTATATGTCGTATATGACTGCCTTAAGTCACCAATTACTAATTACAATCATAGATTCAGAAATTTTAACCTTCCGACACGACTGAAAGAGCAGTCAATGATTTCGCGAATGGATTTGAGTTCTGTAGCCTCCATTCAACCTGCTTCTCTTTTAACTATCCTTACAGTTTTGGGGTAGGCTATGGGTGTGCATACATGACACTTGTCTCAGCCATACCAAATAATATAGGATCACAACTTTAACAAACATTTTTTTCAGTACTTGACTGAAACCTCACTATTCTACTGTTCCACCATAGACCAGAAATGCTTTGAATACATTTTGTGACAAATATTAACAACTTAGACATATATTCCATGTTTCATGAACTGCTGTGTGGACTAATCACTCATTACCAAAGAGACAAACATCTTATATGCGTCTATGTGTGAAATGTAGTTCATATCATGATCTTAGACAATTTTATAAATAAAAATTGTTACCAGTGGAATCTTTAAAGCATCTGGTAACCTCAAGTTACATCATAAAAAGGATTATAGATCAGTGATTTTCGGAATCGTAAACTTACGAAGAACGAGTTGTTAACTATCTGGATCTTCATTATCTTCTAATTCATGTAGCATGTAAATAAACATCAGTATTTTTCAGTTGTGTATAAGTAAATCAATGACAGGGTGTATCACTTAACACATTTACTTATTTTGTTATTTTGATATATTTCAGCCGAAATGATTCTTTATTCCAGCACATCTACTTGGTATTTTCATCAGGAAGCTATTTGTATGCAGTTAAATAAATGTACAATAGCTTAACAATTGATCATTTCTATCCTCCCCTTATATATATATATATATATATATATATATATATATATTTCGCGTCTGACAAGACATGTCTACAATGATGGTGATTTTTTCAACATACTAACTATTATCTGGACATAATAATATCGTTGAAATAAATGCAGAATGTCAGAGTTTGATATGAGGTCATGTTTTCACTTAAAATGGAATAAATTAATAATAATAATAACAATAGTAATAATAATAGTAACACCAGCATCTTTTATTAATATACGCATAATGAAACTTAACATATAAATCCTCCGTAGATAGGTAAAGGGCATGAGGTTTTGTGGAAGCGAAGAAAATTTAAGCATGATAACACAAATATATACGTACATACATACACCATATTATGTTTTCATACGTTGAAAAGTTTAAATAGTTCAACATAATCGTAACAGGGTTAGAAATAGAGTTATTCACTTGTTATAATTATGTATTAATCAACACTTATCTTAAGAACTTGTTTATACAATAAATCATATTTGATCGTTTATGGTAGTTTCCTACCACAACGTGAAATAAGTAAACTTTTCAATACTGACAAAGCAGTCTGTATGAAAGCTAGGAGTAATATGAACCCTTTTACTTATAACCTTATGATGTTCCAAACATTATTATTTAATTCATTTGAATCATCAATGGGAAGATTTGAACAATCAATACAAATGTATTAAACTTCATCCTATCGTCAAAGTCAGGGGATATATGGACTCAGTAGTGAAGTGTATGATGCGTTGGCAACTGGAGTGAAAGATACCAGATCCGGGTCCGAGTCCCAGAGTGAACACAGATTATAGTACCCAGGACACCCAGATGACGAGTTCCAAGTAGCACGAAACGCGCGTCATGTACTACATTACTAGCTATCATTCAATGCATGAAATAGATTTACTGAATTAGAAAGGTTAATGGCGTCTAACACTCATATAAAATAAAGGTAGATTTCCGATCAATATCAAAATTATCTTTACCGAAATTGATGCTATCATTTGTGTTGTAATGTACTATATCTCGAGATTAATAACCATTTAAATCCAACCAAATCAAATATTGCTTAGTGTAAAAAATGAATTCTGAGGTTATTGCAGTGTTCTTAAAACTCCTTGAATTGTTAAGTACGAAGATATGCAAAATATTATGAAAGCGAAGGTAAAATCTGCAGTCCATAACAACATTTTCCACGGATAGTTGCCACCCAACCGATGGCTTGGTAGATAAGATATTCAGGTTTGATAACTAAACACAACTTAGTTCCGAGATATAAACTAATTGAACTACTGATGTATTTAAACCAAATGCAAAAGCAATTCCTATTGCTTCACAACACCTGAATAAGACAGTTCAAGTTACAGGGATGACAGACTTATAATCACATGAATAATCAGTCATAAAGTATGTCAGCATTTTTAGACTATACTTCTGCTTTCGACTCTATTCCAAGAGTACTACTTAACAAGTTAATCAGCATCAACACTGACAGCTGGATAACCAACTGCCTATGTTCCTACCTCACTGGAAGAGAACAGTACACTGTGTTCAACTGTTTAACTTCTCTTCTGACTCAAGAAGGTGTGTCGCAAAGAGATGTTCTCTCCTTTCTTCTCTCTTTTTTCTTCATGGACTGACATCCCCCACAGAAAACACATTTGTTAAATATGCGGACAATCTCACAGTATGTATGTCTATTTCTACCTCTTCACATCCCTTTAAAATGAATGAGTTCTAGTCTCCCACTGAACGATGGTCCGTTGTTAATTGTCTCACAATTATTCTTTCCAAATATCAAACTCTTAACTGTAGCCTGAGATATGAGCAGCGATTACACATTTAATAGAGTTTGTACTGTTGGAAATTCTATAATAAAAAGTTTCCAAGGTCATTTATCTTGATGTAACTTTTCCTCTGATCTCTCTTGGTTTTCTTATGTTTTATCGATAGCGAATAAAGTTTTCAATCTGACTTACTAAATAAGGAGGCTTCATGTTTTTAGCATTACTCGTCATTTGTTAATTCTCACATACTACCTATTGTTCGTTACTGTTCTTCTGGGATTTTGTGGTATGATGGGGAGTGCTGAATGTAGTAAGCAGGATGTGTGGTGAATCTTTAAGATCATTATTAACATCGTCGTGAGTAGACATTTGAAATTTTGTAAATTCTTAACAGGTGTTACCTTATCAAATACTAATCATCCACTTCATTGTTATCTTTCGCCCAGTATTTCTTCTAGTAGAACGAGGAGCCAATACATCAGAATTCACGTGCGTAAGTGAAGGTATGAAAGATCTGCAATACCTTATCTAGCAAATATACTATGCGATGAATAGGTTGCTATAGCTGACCTATTCAATAACTTGTATTCTCAAACATGTCTATATATATGCAGTTACTTGTTTTTTTTTTCGCTTTTTATTTTGTAGAAGAAACTTTTTGAAATACTTAATATTGGTGTGGTGTGTGCTACTTATATTGACATAAGTGGTGTATGATGTTAGTCGTGAACAGAAGGTCGGGCAGCAGAGAGACAAGAGGATCGAACATTTTAAAAAATGGGGACAGGATGCAATTTGTATGAAAATGCAAGAACAATGAAGTCTGAGTCATTTTGAGACAAATGGTGGACACTTTGCAAATGAAGCATTCACTTTATGATTGTTAGATTTTATTAACAAGTTCTGTAATTTTGTGTTAAATACATTCGATTGTACCCACTGGTGTTCTATATTGTAGTAAACATATAATATTGAATAAAGCCACTAATAATAATAATAATAATAATAATAATAATAATAGTTTCAATTACACACACTCATTTGCTAGTAATTCAAATATAGTACTAATTTTATTTAACAAATTACTTTATTCCAAATGAATGTTAGTTTCCAAAGTGTTTTAATACAAAAAAAAATGTTCAAAGATCCTTAGTTTTCAATAGTTTCCTAGTTGATATCAAACTGTGATGAGAATCAGATTCAGATAAAATTGATCTTTACAAACCTTTTAATGTAAATTCATATTTATAAAACTAATTAATGAAATAGAAATGAAATAATAAATTTACCTACGAAAAAATTTCTTAATATGCCGACCAACTCTCTTTGATTTTTGTGGTAAATCACTAGACCAATTTATTTTATCTAAATTATTTGAAGATTGTAATTGTTCATGAGTTAATAATGAAGCTTTTTCAAAATTCAATTGGCTTGTATTTATTGAATGAATGAATTTATTATTCATATTTGTATTCAATGGTAAATGATATTGTTCTGATTTACTAGGTATTTGTGAATAAGATTCTGAAGAATTCCATGAAGAAAGTGATGTTTTTGAATCAAATGATGAAGCTAATGAATTAGTAGATGATGAAGATTGTAATGATTCACCAATTGATAAAGGTGCAATACATTGTTGTGTAAATGAATCCTTATCAGTTAGTTCATCTTTTTTATTTAATGATATATGTTCAAGAGTTTTTAAATTGTTAAATTCCATTTGTGGCATATCATTGAACGGATCTGATCGAAATGTGATTGTATGATCAAATGAATTGATATCAGTGAATTGAACTTGATCGCGTAAATGTTTTGGTAGTACTTGAGCATCTGTAGTTTAGAATTTAAACAATATTTCGGGAAAAAATATTATAAAGCACTGATAATTATATGTATATTAAAATGTTGGCAGTGTTCATCATGACTTTAACTCCCATTGGACTGGGATCTCAGAATTTTGAGTCCGACCCTTAGCAAGGTCATGAGTGTGCATTTTTAAGGAATTAGATGCTAGGGTCAAAATAAACACTCACTTCTCATTGATTTTAGTCAGTAACCAAAAGGGAATCATTACGTGACACCTCGGCCTAGAAATTGAACGAATATTTACAACTCCTCCCTACGATATAACCATATTAGAATGTAAAAAAATCTGTAAATCATCTAAAAAAAAGTGTTTGCTCACTTATGTTTGTTAGATAGTCTCTTCATTCCTGACCTTAGTCAGTCAGTAAGTTGGGAATTAATGTGAATAGTAATGATTCAAATGGATGATTCATATCAGCACAGAAGGACAGTTTAAAAACTTTGAATTCACCTTATTTTTATCTAAAACATTTCAACAATAATGGTAATGATAACATTCAGTTTAATTATATTCCAAAATCTTGAAAATAAAATACGTAGCGTAGCAACAACTTTCTGCATTACATTCAATGAACTCATGAATATGTAAAATATAATTTTTTTATTGGAAAAAGATGTAATTTTAACAGCGGTTAATCGCCACTTATCTTTTATCACAAACGTTTACAACCAGGCTAACTCCTGTAGTAATTTTTACCATGTGACCCTATTTAGTTGTAGCTAGTTATTCATTGAATTTTTCAGCCTTGTAAATAAATCCGGCAGAAATCATAGGTGAACAATATCAAATAAATGCAAAAAAAAAAATTCATTGAAAAGTTTTTACATCTATGATAAGGCGAATGAATGTATACAATAATTTGAATAGGGGATAAAACAAAATAAACAGTCAGTATGAATTGAAGAATATAAATAAAATGACTAAAGCAAACACAATAAATATAGCGGAATAATATAAGTTTATTTTAATTCGTGGTTTTTCTTCAACTCCGTACAATCTAAACGTAATATTATCAATCTTTAAAACTAGCTGACGTACTTTTCAGAATAATATCAAAAGTGTACTCATCAAAGAAGATTCACGAAATGAACAATAAGTATAAAAGAATTACAAGAGATGATTTTGTATTAAATACTGTGAATATTTCAATATATGAGTATTCTAGCGTAAAACTAAGAGCATACATACAAAATTGTTTAGAAATGTAGTAGCAATAGTATGGTTATGTACCACTTTCAGATTATTTTGCATAATCTATCTGGTCTCTGATGGTATGAATATCTCTTCAATAGAATTTCATCACAGAAATTAAATTAGCAATTAGTGGATTTCATAGATCAATGTTGTTTCTTGATCTAAACTGCGATGGGCTGTTTTTCGTTATCTTTTCTTAATCATTAATGAATGCTAACTTAAATGGTGTCTGAGCATATGAAATTCCAGTTACAAATATCTTGATCAATACTGATCTGCATTAAATTTTGCTTCTTTGGACGAAAAGTTTCAACTCGACATCTGACCTTGAAAATAGCCATGTGATCATTTTAAATCACCTGGGTTTAAATATCCTTGGTGTTTTACCCTATTCTACTTTCGTTTACATCATCCATGTTTGATGAGAAAAAAAAACGTATCCACAAAACTAGTCAAAATTTGTCCATTATAGGTTTTATTATGTTCCGCTACTGATTTACCATAAACGAGTTTGTTTATTAGACTTGGAATCGTGAACTAAGCTCATGGGAGCTAGTGTTAATACCTGGCTGTCCAAACCTAAATTAATTGAGCAACTCTCAAACGAGAGACCTCAGAATTAGAAGCTGAATATTGTAACGACTAAGCTATTTTTCCATCAAATACTCAACCAATATTTTGTCTCTTTGTCAAAATGTATCCAAAGATCAATCAATAAGGTTCAGTAAAACTAATTGAGTAAATACATGTCAAACTGTTACATTTCCTACAAAGTGAATAACAAAAGAATGATCCACACTGACTAAAAAGTAAACAACATATTTTAAGTATTTACGTCGTTTATAATTCCATTCTATTTATCCAAACGTACCTAACAGATTTTTTCCGTTGATGAAACAAAATATTATTCAGGTATGTCAATCCTGAAATCGAACATAATAGGTACTATCAACATAATTTTCTTCAATACTAAAAATCTAAAAATATACAAACTGACAATATGAACACCTCACTTTCCAAATGCTCTTTACTCATAAACAATATGTAAACAAATATGTTTCGAAAAATCTATTATAACTTTTTGTAAATGTTATTTCCATTTATAGCAGCACAATTTTTTAAAGGTAATTCACGTAATTACTATAGTCATATGAGCATGGTCAACAAGTTAACCAATCACACAGGAAATTACCATATAATTTGTGGTATTTAAATCAGTAATCGAATGTTGTTTTCGACAATGTTAATAGTCATGATGATGATTAAGTAAACATCAATGTGCATAGTGTGCACCATACACTGGAAAAATAAATAGGTCATATTATTGATGATGACAAATATATTATATAGATCATGATGGAGATAAGTGAATTCTTACCAATTAAGAAATCTCAGCTTATACAAATTACAGTTTATGAAAAAGATGATTTTACAAATGACGAAATATGTAATAATCATATTACAGATTGTGGATTTAATTTGGAAAAAAGTTATTATTATCTTTTGAAAACTATGAGACATCAACATCGATGTAAAGCTGGTACCAGTATTAGTAATATTAATGTTAATGGGTTCGAAAGTGATTATGACAGCGTTGATCCGATGACCAATCTATATCTTGATAAATTATTCAACTTAACGAATCATTCTTATCATGATTTCGATCATACGACTACTTTAACCATTGGTAATTGGACTTATCGTCTTCTATTGATAGATCGAAATGAATTATTTGAAAAAATTGATAACAATGAATCTGACAATGAGGAGAGGTTCAGTGATTCCACATATGACAGTCTAGACTATTCTGAAAGCTTAACAGATGACAATGACGACTACAATCCAACTGTTCACAAAATCACCAGAAAATTCAAACATGTAAGATTTTATCATAGACTAGTTGATAATAATCCTTTCGAAATTCATAACCAGACGAATGAACACGAAATTACTGACGACTATGATTATGAAGCAAAATGGTATGAATACGAAAGAGATAGATTGGATAGTGATGATGAAATTATCGAAGAAGATATTTATGAAGTGGGTTCTCATGAAGAAGAACAATATAAACATGATTATGAAGCTTATAGTAAATTACAGAACAAAGAAATTCTCTATATAAGCGATGAATTCGATGTTTGTGAAGACGATAATGAATAATACAATGTTATTCTTATAAAGAAACTTAGATGAATAGTTAGTAATCAGTTTTATATCTAACAAATACAACTCGTAAGAATCAACTTATTTGATTTTCTAAATAACTAATCAAGTAAATCTTTGAAATAATTTGCATATATACATGTATATCTATAATAAACAATCATAAATCTCGTTTTCTGCACACAAATCGTTTTTATTTATCTGGTTTCAAGATAATTGAACAATTTCTGAATAGATTATACATTATGTAACTTGTATTTTGATAATAAATCAATCAGTCAGTCAGCAACTACGTAGAACTTCGTATGTACGTACATCCGTTCAAGTTGTCATACCACATTAGTACAGAGATACAATTGTCGATTTAAATCTCATAGTGGTAGAGGTAGTAAAAGTATAAGCAGTCATCGAAAAAATTAGTATCTGAAGATGTTATTTAAGGAGTAATTAATAGCGTGAAATTCAAATTAATAATAATAATAGAGCATTATAAAGATACAACCTTCTACAATATAAGTGTAATTATTAAGCATTAATAATTAATCTTTTAAGGTATCCAGTTATTCACAAATTCAAGGTCTAATTCAAATTAATTTCTTCACAAATAATGTTCAAATTCAATTAACTTCTTAAAATCTTGAAATAATTGCTTATTGTATTACTTTGATCAAGTGTACTTGTTGATAACCTTCAATTGTGAATATTCGATGAACACTTTATATCTTGATATATATTTTAATCTAGAAAAGTTATGAATAACATTCAAATTTCATTTATACTCCATATTAACTTTAATCTAATAATGATACATACTTCTAGAATTCATTCTCTTTTTTTTTATTGACAGATTATTTTGTTTTATAACTTGACAAGAATTATAATTGGTTGAGTCTAATTTATTCAGAGAAAGTGTAACAGACTAATTGAATCTAGAGATACCAGATTTCATATCAGTGATCTGGAAACAGTGTGTTCTCTACGAGACATAATTGTCCTGGGATTGATCTCCTGTATGGTTGTGGATGTATATTGTTGAGAACATCTGAACTAATACTAACATTTCTCTAGTTATCTTTGATTATCACAGATTTCCTAAGCGATAAAAATTAATTATGAATATCAACTAGAAATAAAACTTAAATTAATCGGATAGATTTCTCAAATGAATATGATTGCAAACTACATACATAGACATCTTATTGTATGGTAGATCTATTGTCAATATTACAAGACATTGTAAAAGGTTATGTAGATAAATCTGTCCTATTTCCAATTATTAATTAATATCGAGTGAGTAAAATGGTAGTAAAAAGTCGCTTGATTCATATCTATTTGTAACAAACTCGTGATATTTCCATCTGGATATATGTGTATAAAATATTAAATCAGTTCACTTGAAACACAAATTGATCGATATATTTTACTTTATCTTGTATTAAGATTCTCTGGAAGTGTACACTCTTCGCATTGTTTAATGTTTGACTCAAGATATCAAGATACTGAGGTTAAGACGCCATTGTTTAACTGCTGAACTACTGTAAAAGAATTGTTCGTCTATACACCACTTTTGCATCTTAAGTTAAAGCACGTAGATTACTAATAAGGTTAACACTGATGAAGAGCAAGTAATTAATAGTTCTCAAGCAGTTCTTGCAAGTGTAATAAAAATAAATATTTTATTAGTGAAACAAAAAATTCAGTCCAACTTACAAACATAATTATCCGGCCATATTTTACCATGGCTTGTAGTACTATCCAATGAACTATTTAATGGATTCTGGCAGCAATCTAAAGGTAGTGATTTATTTGACAAGGAATAATCGTACGGTATCAGTTCTTCGATAGTAGTACTATCCGCATTATTAGTTACACTGTAATTGGTATTGTGATTATCGATTGTAGCACCGTTACTGGTAGTATTGGTAGTGGTATTGATGTTAATATTGCTTCTATCATCTACATTTTTATTACCATTATTATCATCACGAAGTTTACTATGAATATGATGATTATTCAATGGTCTCGTTATATGAGATGAAGAAGTTTGTAATTCGCTTGATGTTAGACATGAACAATCTTGTACTGAATTGTTACTAGTATTATTATTATTGTTATTATTATAATTCATTGAATGACAGGCAGTTACAGCATATGGCTAAATTTAAAAAAGTACGAATGAAAAGTGATTACAGAATATATTTGCTTAACATACAATTGAATAGTTAAATAATTATTTTGTTAAGTAATAATAGTCATAAAAAGTATCCATCATTAATGAACTGAAATGGGAAAAAAATGAATTAAAACAGTTTGTTTCATTAATCTTAGAGTATCATGCGTGATACAAGAGTTGAATGTCAACAGTTCCGTTTTGTATACATTTATGAACGTAAAATAGTATTAAACAAGGAGGAACTAATTATAAAATGCTTCCTGATATCTTAATAGTTCCTCTGCTTTATACCATATCATGATGAAAACTCTGTTCAAAGTGATGACCTTTTCTTTTAAAACTTTTTTTTAAAATCTTTGCTCTTCACCTGTTAGATCTAAAGTACACTGATTTTATGTTCATACTGTCAGTTATTTGAATTGAACAAAGTTTTAAAGTATGAATTACAAAGCCAACAATAAAGTATTGAAAGACGATATTAAACTTGAATAAATTTCGTTTAATAATAAAATTCAGCCAGCATATCTGCTTAAATCACTCTGCTTGTCTATCTTAAAGAAACTAATGATAATATTTATGAGATGTAACTAACTACTGTCAACACTTATTCTGATTATAGCAAATTTTAAGCTGACTAAACGACGTGGTTAGTCCACCCAATAAATTTGATCTCAGATACTAGTCAGTATTGTGTTTTTGAAACTATGAATAACAGTAAGGAAGGTATATGGAATTTTTTGCATAAAATCTCTAATTAATTTCACACTGTTCTTCGTTTTCGATTCTTTGATACTATTAGTATCACGATTCATGGGTCCCTTCACGTTAGACTTGTGTACCACTTTCGTACCAATAATCTATTGATTAGTGAACCATTTTAGAAGCGCTTACTGAATTAACAACATATTGTACAATAATCGAAATCCATTAATGGAGGGAAAATAAAAATGAACATTCTTTTCAATAATTTCTCATCAGGTTCTACAATTCATAAATCTAAATTATTAATCCATAAGATTGGTCAGATTTACAACAGAGTACATCATTTGGAAATAGTAATATGTGAATTGAGAATTGTTGTTTGTTATATAGAATCAATTTAGATCGTTAATGTTGGGGCTGTTTAATATAAAGTGTTAACTTGAATCAGTTTATAAGTGAAATGAAATTGTGATATAAATGATCAGAATAAATATGGTCAACATGGGGTGAGAGAAAAAATAATGTAATTACAAATCAGAAATTACGTAATATGTAGAATACTATGAATTAGGTCAGATATAGTAGATAGGGGTGGATGCTGAATAATTTTCTCAGAAATGTTATCAAGTGTAGTGATAACAATAAGAAGAAGAACGATAAAGATGGTAATAACAATGGTAAAGATAATAATAATAATAATAATAATAATAGTAATAATAATAAGTTTGGGACATAAAATGAATATTATTCAAATTACGTCACCATATTATAAGAGTGATTGTTAACCGGTTGGCTCCAAAGTTGTCCAGGGTAAAAAAAAGTGGCTGAACGCATTTCTTTTGGATGCACAGCCCTGCCTTTTTGATCCGAATAGCAATTTCTTCAGCCGTCTGTAGGATTCGCAGTCTGACGGAATTAGGTAGACTTCTGTTAATACGATATATTATTGCGAAAGACTGCTCCATGTTGGCTCTATGTCCTGTTCGAAGTAGATGGTCTAAAATGAAGTTAACCGTTTTGAAAACACCTTTGCTTAACCACATAGGGATCCGTATCTATCAATTCAATTGCTTCTGTGGAGCAAGTTGTATTGGCAGACGTTCTAGGAATTTGTACATTCGGGCTCGTGAGCACTTCTCCGTGTGTTTAAGCAAAGGCTTGTAACAATTCAACCATTTTTCGTCTCACTAGGGAAATTTACTGATACTTCCTCAATTCTTACATAGAAAAATATTAGTGAAAGAGAAAACCTATTTTTATGAATGTGAAAACTAATTTCAATAGAAACCAAATTCAAACTAATGTTATATAGCATATCAATTTCACTGTGATTATGGAATTTTCAACTAACGTTCTTTCATAATATAAAACACAAAGAAATTTCTGTAAATCGAATTATAACAACAGTCTGGTCATATTTTTTGTCCTGACTAAAAATTTATTCTAAATAAATATTAACAGACAAACTATTCGATGTATCTTTTTTCACAAGTCAATCTAAGCTAGACCACCATTGAAAACCTGGAAGTATTGGACGATCGATTAAGGATGTGCACTGCTGGGGATTGCCAAACTAGGAAGGAACGATCAACCAGTATCCTCATACTGATAATATCTTTTTTCTATTTAATTCTCATACAATATTCACTATTAATAACTGTGTAAATAACCATCTTGAATAATTCATAGTTATTCATGTGGTTGAATAAAACTTAAAATAAATTACATTTTCATACATGATATCATTCACTTTCTAAATGAATTAATTTAATTCAACTTACACTAATGTCATCTGTAAAATCAATAAATGAATGTAATTTGTAATCTAATGAATTATTTTTTGATACATTAACAAGTGAATAAGGATCATTTAGTCCACGTTTACTTCTCACTGGAAGTGGTGGTGACAATTTATCACTATCATCCTTCATTGTTAACGATTTTGTTGTTGCTGCTGCTGACATCGTCACTGTCGTCGGCGTCGTCGTTGATGTTTCCAAAACCGCTGTTGTCGTTTCAGTTAAAAAATCATTTTGTAAACTTTTAAAAAACTCATTCATATTTCCTAGTGATGTTGATGACAACTCTTTCAGTTCTCTATTGTTCGACTGATTTTGTTGTTGTTGTTCCCACAGACCGAAAAGATTAGACATATCAGTTTTATTATTACTATTTAATAGTGATGAAGGTGAAATTACTGGATTATTATCAGTAGTAGTTGTTGTTGTCGCAGTAGACGAAGAACAATAATTATTATTATAGTCGGTAAGTAAATTTCCAATCAATAGTTGATGTTCAACACTAGATAATGTTTTACTACGACTCCGTGTAGAATCTTTACGTTGATAATGTGTATTCCTTGATTGTGAATGAATTTTACTGTTATTAAGATTATTGGAATTATAATCATTAGAGTGATAAGCATTAGGAAATTGTTGTAAATCATCAAGAGTTGATGAGAACGGTGGATTTAATTTTAATAAATCTGCAATATATGGACCAATTGGGGCAGTATCCCATGGTGGACAAAATACAGTACTAGCTCGACTACTAGCTCCAGGTGATGATGTATTAGAGTCAAGTTTTAAACTTTTATTTTGTTGGGAATCTGATGATATTTGATGACGATAAGAGTGTGGATTATTATTTTGTTGTGTTGTCTACTGTTTGAACTTTTATCCCAAACATTTTGTTCACTTTGATAAATCTCATGAGGCAGTGATATCCTTGGAGCAGACAACAAAGTTAGTGTTGGACATTCAGAATTAACTGATTTTGTTACAGTTTCTGATATCGGTGCTGTTGTTGTCGTTGCCGTCATCGTTATAGCCGTTGACATGGTTAATTTCTTTACTTCTATATATGAGATAAAAAATAATTTATGAATAAGGAATCGAAAATTCTTATTTATTTTTGTTGAGATTATGTCCAAAATACTATTGTTAGCAGCTGATGTGTAAATAAAGTTTCTAATATGAGTAATTTATCAAGACATTTGGTCAATAGTTCCGTTTGATCTCTCATATCTTCAGAATCCAGTTAAATCAGAAAACTTGCATAATTTGAATTAACCATAACAATTATTAAAAGATTATTTGGTGAGACCAAATTTATAGACGACCTTTGAGAGACACTAGACTGACCTTGAGAGTGTCCATTTAATAACCAGGACCAAATGAGGGTTATGAACTTGTGTAATGAGTTATAATTTACAGTTGTTGGTTAAGCTTAGGAATTAGATTTCGGGTTTTCATCACGCATCAGCTATTATGCCAAAACTCTATTTATCCAAATTGATGGATGAATTTCGCGCCAAAATCCGAGATCTTTTATCTTATACGTGATTGGTTCGTCAATAAATAATAGTCTCGACGATTATTTTTATTTTTAAACCCTCCAAATACTTTTCTCTTCAGATGATTAAGAGATTTTACAAGAAAATGTGGTATATATTTTAAATAATCATGACTAAACATCTTATTTTATGGGTTTATTTTATTTCACCATTATGAACAACATATTGTTTTTACCAATAGGTTCGTTATTTTAAAGTGAACACATTTATGTGGACAATGAACAAAAGTCAAAGTACCGAACACAGATAAAACAAAGTATTCAATGCTTCATTTTATCCTAATGGTTTCTTTAGTTGAAAGGTGATTTTTTAAGTGATATGAGGGGAATAAGTCACATAGTACTGATAATTCTATGTCTGGTGAAATTATTCCTTAAAACGGACAAATTGGCTTCACCAATGTCAAGTCTTAATATATAGAAATCATATTTATCTTATCCAGTCTGCAACTTATACAACAGTAGAATATTATAGTTCAGTGCTTAATGCTGTCTAATAGAGGATTTTAAAAACTTGAAAAACCACTTAAAAAGATAATGTAAAAATAAGCTGTGAAGGTTTACATTTTCCCATTGTTATTCACTAGTGCCAAATTCCACCAGTTTATCTCTACTAACGCATAGCTTTCTCCGACATTTGTCTCGATTTACAAACTGGATATCCTTCATTATCTAAATGTCATACCTATTGAACTGGTTATGATCTACCATTGCTCATTATCGTAGCGGACAAAGAACATTATGGAAATTATGACCAGAGGTTCTGGTTTCAATCCCTAGTGAGGAGATTAACAGTATGAAGAAAGAATATCCTAAATGAGGACAGACCGTGACTTCTAGATTCCAGTATCAACTATTATGTAAAATACTATATAATCACTCACAAATATGGTTAGATGAATTTATTCAATCACTTAAACACTTTAAGATAATATTAAATTATGCTAGGATCAAAAGATGAAATAATCAAAATGACTGCTGAAATCACGCGTTACAAAATAAATAAACCACTTAAATAAACATCAAAGTTTAAAATACTTTCAAAATTTGTCGGTTAGCATAACAAATACAATTTTTACTAAATTAAATTTATTAGAATGAATTACGTATCACGATCAGAACAATAACATACATAGATCGCTTAACACTGTCATGCAAATGATATGACAGTACAAACGGTTTTATTATACATAAATAAAGTGATATAATGAGCGATAATGTAGTTACAAATTCGACTAATTGTTTAGTGGATGACAATATCATGCACAAAATCATATGAATTCAGTAGGAAATGATAAAGTGGGGTACGTGGTTACTGAATTAATCATGTGTTTGGGAGATTAATAGTGATATTGAACCAATAATAATAATAATAATAATAATAATAATAATAATAACACAAAAGCATGTAAATAAAAATAAGAAAGACAATAATGTTTGACCAAGAAATGTTGTACGTACATTAGTTAAATGAGGTCTTCCCATAGTTAGGCCTATTATTGGTTTATTGGCCAAGGCAAGAGACTGTCTTGAAGATTTTTCTTTTGTACCCAGTCTCGATTTTTTAATCCGGAAAGCTATTGCTCTTACTGCTTGAAAAACTTTGAGTCGGACTGACTTTGGTTAAGAATTACTAACCTGATAAATTGTTGAAAAAGATTGACTTATACTCGCATGATGATCAGTTTGCACTTAATGGGCTAGTATTGAGTTGTTTACTGCATTGACTACATCTTTACTCAGTCACTTAGGATGATGTTCATGAATACGAAAATATAATGTTGTTTCAATCGTTTTTCGGCCACGATCTAGAAACTCGATAACGAGCTTATTATATTGTCCAGATACTTTTCGACATGATGTTCTGTCATCTGAAAAGAAACTACTGAGATGATTTGCCAATGAATAGCAGTCCCATCTTCAATTTGAATTCACCTACGACTTTACACGAGATTGAATCGATAGCACTCAGGTTCTTCAGTAAGCACTTTACTTTCAGACCATTGAAATGAAATTCAATGTTGCAAGAGTTTACGAGGTTGTAAAGAGGTTCTACTAAGAAATTTCCAATGAAAAAATGAAAATCTTATAGAGTACCATCTGATCTCTAGTAATACTTTAGATAACATCAAATCACGGTGAAAATGTACATTGTAGTACATTAGTCTTTACAGTTCACTTAAATCATTGTGACAATATTTGAATTGTTTTTTTTTACTTAGGTTTACTTACGCCTGTTACTCCTAAAAAAGCATAGGCCGAGTTGACTTGGTTACATAACGTTTTTAATAAATCATTCAATATATCTATCAGCCAAATATTTGTTGCATAAGTTAGATAATTAAATATGACATTTTCGTTTTCTCATAAAAGATTTATTTACAATTACCGTTTAAATATGTTAACTCACTTGAATTTTGTTCAATATCTTGGAAATAATTCTTATTTAATTCCATATCAGTTTCAAAGCAAATTGTATGATCTCCATGTAGTATATCATATTTCTTGGAATTATTATAAGGATTTACAAATGTATCAGTAACATCTGATGTCTCTAAGTCTGGGTGATAATTATTTTGACTATTCAATGTTTTTGGATAAATAATTTTAGTGACCGGTTGATACGTGGATGAGTCATTTTTTATTTCGTCCAGTTTTTGCATGACTACTTTGGATGATAACGGCGGTGATGATGAATGAGTAGGTCGATGATTATTTTCAGAAATTGTTTTAACTGTTTTCTGTCTATGTGTTGTATCCGCCTCGTTTTCATCGTACATTCTAGTAATTTTCTCAATCTATCAAATGGAGATGAAAGAGAGGGAAGGACATACATATAATAACAAAAATCAACACACTCACGAAACTGTAATCACAGTGAAGGTATTTACCTCCAGCTGAGATGATTCTTTTATACAGAGTATTCATAAATGATCATATGGCAGATGAATTTAAACATTTAAAATAAATGGAATACGTTTTACAGTATGGGGGTTTGTGGAGATTGTAGTATTTTAACAGTTGAATTCACGAGTCGATCTAAGGTAGTCTATGATCTTGAAATTCGACCTTAACACCGTTGGATGCTGGATCAGTGGTCGAGAGGTTAAGCATTCGCGCGCGAGACTGAAGGTCTTTGGTTTAAGTCCTGCGTGTGAGGTCGTGAATGCGCGCTTTTGGAGAGTTCCATATTAGTACTAAACGGTCATCCAATACCACCAGTTCTTCACTGGTGATCTAGCTTAGATGGATGCATGAATTCAACTGTTAAAATAAGTTTTTGACAGGCAGAATCAAGACCGATAACTTGGAATTGTCACTTAGCGATCTATTTTGATTAACAGTATGCTTTATTGTGAATCAAACCTTAACTCATCACCGTTTATAACTATCTGCTGTGAATCGGTCTTCTATATAGAGAATCTTCCATTGAAGTAAAATAAGGCAGACTAGTACTATTTGATATGAACTCTGACAAAGCGCAACTTCTACTAAACAACCTGAGTAACACTTCAAGAATATTTCTGATATGTTTTTCTTCTTCTAAAAATAGAGCCACTGAATTTCAAACTGAGTCATGTTGGTAGACGTAAAATTTCTAATTAGAGTCTGTTAAGGGTTAGGTGTTATAGCTAAAGATAGACTGTAGTAAGCCAAGGGTATTCCCTATTTATCTCCCTTCAGATCTTAAGTTTAAATTTTATCTCTTACATATATCAAACCTCTCAATTTCATTTTTCTTTTTTAACTATATTCTCCACTTAGTTGGATTTAGATGGTGACTAGCAGTGAAATCCATTATGTGCATTTCGTCCTAAGTAGGATTTATAATCTCTATATGACTGCATTTCAGTGTTGTTGATCACATTGGGCTTCAAACGCTCAACAGGTCATCCATTGGATTGCTAAATTCAGATAGTCATCGCCCTGTGTAACAGGGATGAACTTAATCTGTAAGTGTTTGTGTCTTCCTGTTGCTGATGTTGAGAACAGCAATTGATCAGTTTTTTCGGACCAAAATATGTGTCCCGCATCCCACTGCTAGCAAATATCTAGCTTCAATTAAGAGTTTGTGACCAAACTTCAGTATCCAATTAATTCGCACAAGATGCACGCATTATCGAAAGAGACTGACCAATTACAGCGCCCAACATCAACAACGACAAGATACATACAAATACGTACAAATCATATTATTTATGTTTAGCCTATAAAATTGATGTTATTATAATTTTAACTCGTCCAACTTCCAGATGATTAAGTTCTTGTCACAGTAATGATATAATGTAACAACCTGAACTGATATTCAATAAACTGAGATCTGTCGGAATCTTCATTTTCACTGATTAAATAATCCAACTGTTAGGCATCGATCATTATGATAAACAAATTTGTTGATAAAAATCTTCAAAAGTGAACTAAATCAATTTACACCATTAGCCCATGTAATTAGTGACTTTCTACTACACTAAAAGTCAATAAGTACGCTGAATAGCTAAAAATAAATTGGACTCATATTCAGTTAAAGTATAGGTGACATAAAAAGTAAAACTAGGCTGTAATGATTCATTTCAATACCAATATATAGGTTCAGTAGTCAATAAACTTTAAGTTTTATATCTCTTTCAGACTAGAAAACAAAAATTATCTTGCTTATTAAAAGAACACAGTTTCAGTAGAAGACTTATATAAATATGATGTCATGTGTATTATAAATTTTTATTACATAAAAGGTTACGTAGTCAACTTTCTGGTAAGAATTGCCCTCAAAATTAACCACGCTACTCAGATGTCTAAACCAGGAGGAGATGGAAGTCGAATGTGTAACCTACTGGTTAAAAATTGAGGAATTCAACCATTAGGTTATAATTAGTCAACGCATATAAATTTTTTATAAATATAAATGTATTACTCAACTTATAGACATAAAGCAAGGAGCGAAATCCCTTTCAATATCTAATTCTAATGAAGCAAGATGAAAATCGACAATTTATCAAACGTTGTTATGTGGCTTCGCTGATGTCAATGGACATGAACCATTGTGGACACACTTTAGACTGCGAAAATGTCGAGAGTTCAGACACATCAAAGGCAAAGAAGACCAGAGGATTTTTTGGAGCTCATTAGCAGTCAATAAACGTATCAAAACTGACCTAATTCACTAACCAGTTAGCAAAATCATGGACAAATACGGTATCAGGAATCAGGTCGAAGGGGAAGATGATTGGAACAGATCTGTCAGTAATGACAGGACAAGAGTCAATAGCAACTAATAAAGATCAAAGTCGAAAGGATAGGCTGACATTCACAGGTGGGAAGATTCGAACAGCTCATCTTTACATAAAGTTTGTGCTGATGGTATCCATTCAGAAAGACAGTGAAAGCCTCTCGACTAAACCATCCATCTTAGACAACGAAACTCCACTAAAAACAATTTACCAAATTTATTCAAAGTACTGTGTTTGAATTTAGTTTCATAAAAATTTGTTCCGTTTTTCTTTTACTGTCAGTGTTGTGCTGGATTTCCAGTCAAACCTTTCCACATCTAGATTTAATGTGAGTCGTTTGGTATAAGAATGCCTCCGAAAATTTGTTTCATCAATTAACATACTATTGAATTAGCCTGACAGTAGTCTTGTGTACATATTCTCACTAAATATTATGTTAGTTTATATTGTTCGTGTTGAATAGTTAGAATTTTGAAAACAGCTAATTATCAGGTAATCTGTTCATCGTTTTTCGCACTGATATCATTTGTTTTAAATGTGCCTAATTTTTTGACTTTTACTTTTTGAATTATGATTGGTCGCATTTTATAGTGTAGGTAAAATAACAATTGTATCTACGAAGTGGATGGGGCAGTTAAACTTGACCCCAGGAATATCACAGCTCTAAAATCTTCAAAAGTAGACTACTCAGGTATTTCCATATTTTATAGACTTAACATTTTTCTACCTAACCTTTCACTTACACTTTTATGTCAAATGAAATACTCGGCATTTCTTAGATACTCACTTCTCGAGTATTAGTCATTTTTCGATTATATGGTTTACCTTAAACGAATTCAGAACTTGTTGGAATATAGAACTGGTTTTTACCACTGATCGACGTTAGACACTGAACCATTGGAAACTAATGACAAATATATGGTTTTTTCGTCCTGGTTTGGAACATTTCAGAATCACAAAACTTTGAAACTGCGTAAGATCAGGACCAGGATAATTTGAATTTTCAACAAGCACATTAACATCTAGAATCCTAAACCGACGGTGCGAATTATTTGATCGCAGTTAATTCTCAATACCGTTCATTCATTATTCCATATCATCTATGGATAGCTGCATTACATCAACAGTGAAGGTACTCAAACAACTTTTTAAATGGTTTGCTAGTTGAGATTATCTACAACGTATCGTACCTAGCACTTTTTGGATTTTTCCGTTCGTTTAGTAGGTTAGTACAGTATATTGGATAGTTATTCTCACTAAACATTTAATCTCGAACCACAGATTTCACACTACTTGTGTTTTTATCTGGCATGACAGGTTGGGATGAACGTGCTCATAACAGACATTTGCGAATAAATCCAGTCGTCCTTTCATTATTATTATTAATATTTGATAGTTGTATCATATAAAAATGAATCGCGAAAAATATTTCATTCAGCTAGATCATATTAAACAGCTAAAAACACTTGTCTAACCAAAACTCGTTTTTTTTCAACCATAAGGAATAAATCAGAGAATGAAGAAAAAATACGCATCAGTAACTATGGGAACCGAGCTCCGTACTAATAGACTGTATGACAACGTTCGAAATTTAGAGGGTGACAAAGAGTAGATACAATATAGCAATGTAATCTTTTACTTTCCATTACACCATCTACCAGCCTCAACTATTTGTTTCTAACAGTTCGAGGATGTGAGCTATTATATAGTACATTTTATTTGATGATTCAAACAAACAATCAATAGTCTCATGGATTAGTTTTATCTCTTGATTGTAATACAACCTGAACGATAATGGGAATCTTCTGGAAAATAATTAATTCGGATATAGTTTGTATCAAAAGCCGGCTTTAGTTAGACAACTATTAAAAACCATTGTGACGGAGGGTAGCTGTCTTGTCTTAGAATGAAATTTCATTCACGACATTACCTCAAATGGAACTCAGGACCAACAGACTTCGTTACTTGTCGATTACCTTATAGGTACTAAGCACCAAACGATACATATTTCCAACATTCCGTCATTTCACAATATTATATAGCCATCATCCACTCCAATCATTAATAACTATCTCATTCTTATCAACGACTAACAAAACGTTCCATTGAATAACATGAGTAGCTGTAATAATTTACAGCCGTCTAGTGACTTTTATTTTAGTAGTATTTATTTCAGTAGTATATCGAGTTTCATAAATCATGTAGATAGAGATAGAAATAGATAGATAGAAATAAGTTCTTGTAATTTTCTTCTTTTCCAAAATATGCCAATTCTCTGAAACAACAGTCCAGGCTATCGTTCTATATGATAATGATAATAGTTTCAAATATTATTATTGACATTAAAACGATCGAAATTCCAACCTTACACCGTTTTCACGAACTAACCAACTTAATTTTTAAGCGTACGTGAGTGATATTTCCACTAATCGATGTCAACTGAAGAACGGATGGGAACTAAGAAATACTGTTACATCCTTGCATAGTTTTTCTCCGTAGCGCTCAGCATGCTTGAGTAGTCGTGGTTGGTTAAATTAAACGATGTCAGTGGTGAAGCGGTTACTAACTAACGGTACTGACTGATCATTGCATTATATTTCAAGTTGATTGAATTCGAAAATGTGGATCACTGAATTCCTATTCGCGTTCTAAAAGTAACGTTTTCCTCCGCACAACTTGTAGGTCCAGGTTTTGATCTATGAAGTTTAATGAAAATTTTCAGTTGTTCCAACCATGATCACAACTTCACTAAGCCAGTAGGTAAAGAGATTGTGAAAATCGAGAATTTTTTAACACAAAAATAATAAAGATTTAGAGGGCATGATCGCTTTAAATGACTACTAATCTTTCAGGGGTTTATAATCGATTTTCCATATCTTTCAGCAAACTATTTTACTCTACAGAGTCATCTTCATTCAAGTGAAGAGTTTTAATTGAATCTTTTATCAGGCCATAGACTCTCCTATATTCCCAGAAAACATTTCTCAGTTTTTTATAACATTTTTAAAAAGGTTAGCCAAATATTTAATGAAGTGAATTTCTAATATCAAAATCCAAATCCTGTCGATCATTTATATGGTACAATGGTGTTTATTATATTCCATACATCTATAAAGGCATGATTTAGTTGTTAAAATTATTTCGAATGAAGAAATAAACTCGAGTTTATTAGAATATATTTTGGAGGGAATCTGTGCCAGATTAAGTAGGCTCAACTTTTGAGTTCCCTTTCATGTCGTATTTCTTTTTGTTGTATGACTGAACAGTAGATATTTTTCTACTAATCTTATTTAATCTAAGTACTATTGTGTTGTGCGCTACTTATGCGAACAGATAGAAGTAGTATGTATCAAGAACTGAAAGTAGGATTATTACCGACAGAAGAGAAAAACGAATGGAAAGAACCGAGAGCAAAAACGATCGAAGTAGCAGTAGAAATAAAAGAATGATGGAGTTTGTAAGAAACAATTCAAGATGGTCAAATGATGTATTCAATTCATTACTTTCATATTTTGTAAACGCAGTGTGTAATTTCGCACAATACAATAAATTCGTTTATCCTATCCTAGTCTTCGTTTGTTAAACGATACACACATACTTTGCCACAAAGATCTTAATAACATGTCCGCTAGCATTGCTTTTTAAAATTTCTAGCAAAACAGCTGGTAGTTGCTTTCTTGATTCTGATCAGATCATTTTCACCACAAATTTGGCTGATATTCCAAACTAGGATAAGATAATTGTAAATTTTCTATAATTATCCATAATTTTGAAAATGATAGTAATGCTTAATAAAATCCAGTTACGCTTTAAATAAATTTCCACTAAACTCGCAGTCAGAAATGTATCAAAAGATAGTAACATCCGAAGTCTAACGATCAAACCATCGCTTGAACATTAAAATAGACAACCATATAATAATAATAGCCATGGTAGTATTTTTCACTAACCTTATCTGTAGGCAATATGTTATTGCGTAAACATGTTGAACTTTCCCCTAGAAATAATAATCTATGCCTACGATTATAACTGTCATTATTACCATCATTGTCCAAACTGTTGTTGGTGTTATTATTATTCTCATTCAAATTTGCATTAAACAATAATAAATCTTCATATGGCTGTGTTCGCTTAGATGTTGATGATGATTGTTTTTTCAGCGAATATGCGCGTCTTAATTTTGGTTTATTGCTTGTATGCAAAGGTTCAGATATATTGTTATTACTCTTATGTTTACATGTATCATTTATTGTTGACGTTGTGGTTATTGTTCCTGGAGTATGATTGTCTTGATATAATATGTCTTTTTTCAACTTTGCACAACATGCTCCTGATACTGTGGTTGTTGTTGATGTTGTTGTTGAACATTTCAATGAAATTGAAGAGAAATTATTGTTTAAAGAATCAATTGGTGGATTCAATGAAAAATTATATTCATCTATAGGATAAGCTGTAGCTTTCATAACAAATACATGTCCAACTGTTTGAGGTGTTGCCAAATCATTCAAATCTAATGAATATCTAAAGGTTACATAAAGAAATATTTAATAAATATTTAGTTATATATGTAAATAATAAATATGATTGAGTAATTAATAATTGGTAAGTTTAGAATTATCATGCCTATACAGTACATTTATCAATACATGTGAATATATATATATATATATATATATATATATATATACATATATATATATACTCCTAAGATTTCCATTATTCACATGCGGTAGTGTATATGTATGAGTGTGTTAATTGTTGTTTCATTTACAAGTGTTATCCAGGCATTTTGTCCATTTCAATCATAAATACATTAATAAATTACAATATTGTAATGAATAAATGACAATTCGAAATAGACTGGACTGAGTTAATAAGAAAATGTTAATGTATATAACAATAATAATAATAATAATAATAAATCGAAAATATTAGCATTTTTTACTTTAAATTCAATGTTATAATTTAATTGATTTTTAGTTATAGTTAATATTTACACAGTGATCTAATGTTAATCGTTTAAAGATCCTCGTCAAATTTTTCAGTAGTTTATATCATAGATAAGTTCATAAAAGTTAATTTGGAAGACATTCATATTCTTTTCTCTATTGTTTTGTCTATATGAGCACGATTTTATTATTAGGGGCATTTGATCGGTATTCAATAGTTACTTTAATCTAACCTGTCTAATATTTTTTTTGATTATTAAATAATTCTGTTGTAGTGATACTAGTTGTTGGATGGAGAATGCTGGTGAGCGGCCTATGCTCCTTCACGAGGAGTAACAGGCACAAGCAAGTAAGTAAGTAAATGATACTAGCCCTTAACAAAGATTGTTTACAAGGTAAATTTAATGTAAAAAAGGAAACTATACAATTAAATATTATCATGAATAAACATTATTTTCATTGATTTGTAACTTTATGCTTATAACAACCTTAACTCAAATTATTAATCGATTTTTATTCCTGTAACACAGTCTCATATTGGAATATCATGAAGAAAATTAAATATGGTATAGTAAGTTTAACAATGAAACATGATATTTATGAGTTTTGAAAAAAATATCTACCGTCGTACCCGAATTTCCATCTGATCAACCGTTTTTTTTGCAGGATAAACTTACAATAAAACTTTACAAGTTAAATAATAGTTTCTTTTATTCCATACTAAGTTTTATATCTCTATATTTATTTTGATTACACAGATATCTAATATGTAAAACATTATGGTTTCAAACGGGTTCGAACTCTACTTCATCTACTTTCATTCTCCTAGTCATATAAATAGTTGGACACAAATTCGAATATATACACATGTGACTGGTTAACATACTAGACTCAAAAAGACTAATCGTTTCTAGATATTCTTCACTCAAATACTATCGTATGCACTCTGAACCCTGTTCATAACTAAATACAAAATCTTAATTTCTTATGGTAAGTGGTCTATTTGTTAGCAGAATATAACGGTTTATATTTTTTAGCTTGAATTATGTCCTGATATGTCATAAATGTTCGTCAATATAGTCGATAATTACTTACTTATACTTCAACGAAAACCCAGTTGAACAAGTCGTAAAAACTGACAGTCCGAATTTTACTCGAGTGAAAATCTATTAATCAACTTATAGATGTGTTTCGTTTTCTTTACCACTCATCCAGTGAGTGTTTCTGAATTCATGCTGATTTTCACGATGAGACTTAAACTCACTACTTATCTCTGAACAATAATAACACGAGGTTATGGAGTCTCAATAGTCAGTAACATATTCTATGATGATGAAAAGTGATAAATTCTTTTAGTAGTTACATGTAATATTCACTAGAATTTGCTGAATGGAGCTTCCTAACAAATAATAACATTCTATAAACTTCAGAACCGATTAAAATTTCGTCATTCAATTCAACATTACTTCAACAGACATTATGTTATAAACTGTTGGTCTATAAAAATAAATAACTTGTCATAGTTATGACAAAAATCGAATAATACATGTTGAACTAAACTAGTAAAAGATATAACTAACCTTGTATTTTTATAGCCTCCTATTTCTTGATCCACTAATGCATCGTAATCCGATAATGTTTTGTCGATATTACCAGTTTCTTTTCCATTAAACTGTAAATTATCATCTCTATTATCATTAGTATCACAATAGTTAAAACTAGTGTCAACTCTTAGCTCGTTGTTCAAACATCCACTTGAATAAATTGGATTAGTTGCAGTGTCTTGGTAATTCACGGTATCATTATAATGATTAGTATTTAGAATACGTGTAAAGTAATTTGGAAGTTTTAAATCGTTGCATATACTACCAGCACAGTTTTTAGTAGTATGACTAGTATTACTTGTTGTATGTACAATGGGATTACACTTCATAGCATTAGTGGTTGAATTCCCTACACTATCATTTACCAGATTCATGCATACAGGCTGTATGGTTGTTTGGTGAGTCTTAAGTACAAATTGTTTATCATATGCATCTGATGTCAAATGGGATCTATCTGATGGTAATGAGATTTGATGTTTCAATTGACGCTTTTTATCTTGTGAGTTGACAATTTCAATTGGAAAGTTTAAATCATGATACTCAGTGTTACCTTTACTACGAGTACTTGTTTTTGTTGGTTCACAAGATGTGCTGTTTAAATGAAAAGCTGAAGTGAATAATTTTCCCTGTTGTGATTGATTATTAGTGTCGGTATTTGCAGCGGTAGTAGTGGTGGTAATGATGATGGAAGTATTAACCCCGGTGAATGTATTGGTTATGTTCATAGGATGTTTTGTATTTTGGTTCGGATTCCATGAACGCCATGCATGTGTCTCAACAGTTGGACTGGATTTGAAGATTTAGCTTGCAAAAGAGCATCCCAAAATTCGTTTTCAGCTCCTTCATATACCTGAAAGTTATGTGAACATATGTGTTAAAGAGGTAGATTTCATAAGGTAAATCAATATGTAGATCAATAGAAAAGTGCAGAGATCTAAAACGTTACGTAGGATTGTATGAAGATAGTCAAGTAAACTGCATAACTGATGCTTACTAAAGTTTTCTATATTACGTACGGTTTAATTTCAGAGCTTTCTTTGTCACTCTGGACGCTGTTACCATGGAGCTGTAAGCTCATGGAGAAGTAAGCTCTCCAATTATTCTGCAAGCACTAAGTCAGTTTGTTTCAACGAATTTGTCTCAGGTTAGTTGTCATGGCAGGTTTTACTGTCCTTTTTTGTCAGTGCATTCCCGCTGGTTGCTTAGTTCATTTAACCCTTGACCATTTGACCATTTGACCAGTTGACCATTTCTACATGGAGTGATCTGTATCGAATTGTCGGTTGATTTCAGTCAACGGCGTTACGAGAAAGGTTACAAGAAGCTAGTAAAACCTGCGAAGACAATCAATCAAAAGCAAGATCACCAAAAAGGACTGACTTACTGTTTGTCTAATAGTCAAGAGTGATGAATTCTACTTAAAGTTGAGCCTCATGATGCTGTCCAGGATGAAAATGAAGGGGTCACAATTAAACCAACTGAGAAAACGAAACACTACCGGAAAGATCTTACGTGACCTAAAAATTGTCTCGATCATTTAAAAACCATGAAGCTTATCGCTTTTGTTAACCAGTACATCGATAAAACAATTATGTTAACGTTCTGTAAACGAAGCATGCTTCCTGTTATCCAGTCTATTACCGGTTGGACGTTGATCAACTATATTAAAAGTAGAACATTTTCCAAGCTTTAACTGATTAAAGAATAAACAAGCTGTTGGTATTTAATCAGTCCCTAAAACCCCCCAATCTTCCAAGTTTGGGGAAACCACCAAAGTCAAATGACCTTCACCAAGGTTTAAGGGAGATTTTGAGGAAATACTGGGGATTTGGGGAAATGGCACCAAAACCTCAAAATTTCCCCAAAATGGGTCAAGTTTTCACAAAAATTGGGAGATTGGGCCGTTAGAATTCCTTATTGTTTTGCAATTTATTTAGTTAATTACAACCGTAAGTTTATGTTTATTCCCTACACAATTCGCAACTCTACATATCCTTCATTTAATCATGATTAACGAAACTTTGCTCTTGTTGGTTGGTTGAGTTTTTCATGGCTATCTTCTCCTTCTCCTATTTCCACCAATCTTCTTTGATATCGCAAGTAAATTTTTTACTCGAAATCATTTTTTCAGATTTGTTGAGGGCCAGTAAAGGGTGAAAAATATTTCATTCATATTATTAAGTTGTACCACAGGTACAAGTCAGTCAGTCAAGAGAAACGTAACACCTAACAATATATGTGCATTGGTATAAGCACGCACATAACGTCAGTACAGTGAGATGAACACCAATATGGCACTAATGTCAGTGATAGTAAAAAGGTATCACCTAATTTCAAAACACAGAACCTAATAGGAGGTAAAGATTATACGAATCTGCTCAATGTTACACAGCATCTCCAACCACTATTCACGATAATCATATGAATCCACACGACATACTTTTATATAAAAACACAGGTTAGACTAACAACTATGAATATGTTCAAGTCATTAAACAGAAAATTGTAGAAGAAAACCTGCGTAGCAAATACCAGTAAATTCATATTCATATTGTATGTAGTAAACTTTTCTTATAAATTCATCACTTTTTCAAACCGTCATTCTGCGCGACGGTAAATTTGTAGTAATAAGATCAAATTTAGTCAACTATATTATAATTATTGTAATACGACACATTTTTACTGAATTTAAGTAACTAATAGCAGTCTATTTCAATTTTCCAAAAATGAATTCTAACCCTTACTAATAACCATTCATAAATATCTGGCTATTTGAATTCGGTAGCTCAATGGATAGCATACTGTGAGTTCGGAGCAAAGGGTATTGCGTTCGAGTCCCCAAGTGAACATAAACACTAGGATGCAAATGCGCCCATCTGAAGATTCCCAATCAAGACAAAGTGAGTGTTCTGAATCCCACTACTGCCCATAATCCATCTTTTCTATATTGAACCACATTTAGTCATGTGGAATTATGATCCATGGCACTTAAATACTTAACGTAGAATTAATTGTAATGTTGTTCAACTTTCGGAATTGAGGAAAATAGAAGCAATTGACTGATTGCGCTTTGTAACAAATGTTTATTTATTTTCATTACTTAATCAAATTTATTAGAAACTAATTATATAAACTAAATATCATTGAAAATAGAAAGGGTGGTTTACAAAAAAGTGTGTAATAGTTTGTAACCAGCTACTGGACATTCTATTATTGACTGTAATGAAATATCGTGTTTTACTTTTTCATACCTGTTGACGTACATCTTGATGCAGTTTTTATGTAATTATGAGTTAATATGAAAATATACGGGCGAGAAATCACGGACGTGTTCCGTATAAAGAAATTGATCGAGACTCTAATTGGAAGATGAAATGGACAATTTTACTATTTATCAGAAAAAACTTTCCTCCACAAACAGTCACCTTATTATAAATGCTTAACACTGAAACTCTTTAAAACAATTTTTTGAATTGGATATATTGGAAAATCTTTTTATTATCTTTCTGTGATTTTTTTGGTTGAAACTATAAAATTTTGTCCATTGTGACGTCAGAAAAATATTTGGTAAGAGTATAACCGTGACCACAACAGATAGATGTTAAAACAAACGAAAGAACATCAGGGATAACTGTTTAATCCGAAACATTATATTTCTTTGGTTTATATCTAACGTTTGTCGACCAACCTTATTACTCAAGCGTTCAAAATAAATTAGTTAGTATGAGATTCAAATTAATATACTAGTTGTTGGGTGGTTAGAAGTGATCGATATGAACTTCTAAAGCTGGGTGTCTTGCTATCTGTTACTTTTCATGAAAATAAACCTTCAGCTTTTGGCTAGTTCATGTTACCTGCACGATTCGAACCCTAGTTACCTTGATTCATAGTCTAAGACATTACTGAATCCCCTCTAAGACTCATCTTTGAATTGATTAATCACTGAGTAGTAATTAGTGTAATGTTTGTCTTGAAATGTCCTACAGCAATACACCCAGTGCATTAAGTAGTTTACTATGCACATGCACCAGCATTTGTCTGACAGCTATTGCAAGAGGGTTAATAATACCTTTGACTTACCGCAGTATAGTAAATGAACCAGTGTTCAGACCGAAAATAGAAGTCATATATTCGAGTCAGTTTCTCTTCAATCTGTATAAACATACTAACACATGTGGTATTTAGCTATATCTAATGCTTAAAGCGTAAAGATGTTACAAGACTGATTAAATTTAAGGAATTACATCAATGAAGCTCATTGATTATCCAATGAAGTTTTGCCTGATCATCTAACTAATGTCCTGTAATAAGACTGAATAAACTTGATTGGCTTTATTGTATTCTGTCAATTTCATATGATTAGTGATATTTGAATTAGTGGCACACTGGATTTTTATTCAACTTTCGATAGTTTTGATAAGTGGTTTACGTGAAACATTTTGCTTGGAATATGACAGTGTGATCATTGAACAAAGAAGAAATTTAAGCAAAACTGACAAGTTGACTGAAAAGTTGACAGTTTACATTTAAAAAAGTTGGTATAAATTATTATAGTAGATTTATACGTTAATTTATTAATAGAAATGTACTATTATAACACTATTTAGCAACAGCACATACTAAAGATAGGATTCGTGAAACTCTGTGCAAGTTCATATCATTATTTGAAAGCGTTTGAATAATCCTGTTGTTTATATTCTTGGTTGAATTTCGGGTCAGTTTTTGTTGGAATACATATATTCTAAACAAATGATCTCAACAAAAACACTTTTTAACGAGTTTTTTTGTAGAATGCATACTGTGACAGTCAATACAGGGGTGTAGTTACTCCCAGTTGATGGGTCCCAAATAGGACGAAACGCGCTTTTTGAGTTTAACCGCTAACCAGAATCCATTCATACATATTTATTCACCGAATATTAAAATGTAAAATTATATAATTCCTGGTAATCATATGTTTATTATGAGGAACCGCGGAAAATGAAATAATTCCAATCATACGACTGTTTAGTCTGTCGTAATGAGAAAAAGCCATTACTTATTCTAAATATTATCAATTCTACGTTATTAATAAGTAAAGTGTAGAAATTCTACAGCAAATATATTATTTGTTAGTTATTATTAGAAAGTGTAATATTTTTAGTCCACTCGAGGATTATATATTCAAACAAAGTACTTCTATGTGTGCGTCTATGTGAGTGTGTAAACGACGTCTATAAGCGTAAATAAAACCTTTAAAGTGAAACATACCACCACATTTTTAGTTCACTATAAGGATATACTTGCACACAAACACGGGTTCATCTTTAGATAATCTAAACAGTTATTTACGGTCACTGATGTATCTGCGTACTTTACCAGTCAAGTCAAGATTTCGACAGTTAATATGAGGAATGCAGACGGAGTTCACGTGATCTAAGTGTGAGATACAAAATGTTCCCGTACTAATTGTTTCATTTTGATTGTTGTTTATGAACGCAGTTTCCTAAAAACTTCAACTATTTCATCGAGGTGAACACTGCTTCCTACCTTGTAGCTTGAGAAACATTTTGAGTTCCAAGACTGCATAGTTTTTTTGTTAATATGATTTCCAACGACAACCATTGCACAAATTGATATGTCAGGTTGAAGAATGGTTCTTTAAACGATCGACCTGAAAAGTTCTGTCTAAATGAGAAGACTAGGATGGTGGTTAACAGCGGAATCTAGGGTGCGCGTTTCATCTCGTTTGGGACTAATCAGCTGAGTGTACCTGTTCCTCGTAGTCGACATTTACTCTGGAATTCGAACCTAGTACCGTACACTTCAAACTCTGTCGCGTTATCCACTTAGTTACTGAGACCAGATAATCACTGGGTTATGAAATGGGATGAGGTTTAATTCGTTTGTATTGGTTGTTTAAATCTTCTCATTGAGGTTTAGTACATGAATTAAAATCCTGAATATCAATATGAGGATTTAAACAACCAATACAGATAAATTTTTCCTAAGTGTTTAAGGTCTGCTGTTTAAATTAATAACAGACCTGTATATTGAACTATTGATCACATTAAGTTCATTAAATATGATGGTTTTATAATAATGGAATTCTGTGAAGATTATTCAATCTGGAGTTGATCTCAATACAAATAATATCATTTAAGAAGAAACCTAATGGATACTTGGGAAGCGTTAGATAGTTGTATACATCCTAGTTCATCACGCCTAAAAAATAGACACACCTACAGGGATCTAACCAACGATCCCTATATTTCATCACGAACACTGTGCCGCCAGACTACTGAGTTAGTTCATATTTTCAATATCAATAAATTTGTAACATTGGACAACAGTCATCCAAAAATCGGTAATATTTGTCTCATTCCCAAAATATGTAAACTACCTTAGTTCACAACTTTCTACAGGAACTTCAGGTAAACTAGTGTTCACTTTCGAACTTCAAGGTTTTACCTTTGAGCTCATATTGTGTAGCGATTGCACATCATCTAATAATTTTAAACTGAACTATAATATTCACTTGGTACTGTTTTGCTTGTATCTTCCCATTGAGGCTTAAGAATGCAACTGACCAGTCTGTTATTGGCATATGTGCATACTGTGCGTGTGCCTTAGTTCATAATCTATTTAGTTACATTTTATGACCGGGAAACCCAGGACAGAGTTTGATGGGGAATTCTGGTGGGCGACCTATACTTCTCAACGAGGAGTAACGGGCGTAAGTAAGTGACTAAGTATGACCGAAAATTCTAATTGCACCAATACCTATATAAATTCCTTATAAAAGACCATGACTTACCCCATTTTGATGACGTCGATTTTGATTTAATCGAAGAGAAGAACATTCAATGGATTCATTAATTTTATTAGTTTTATTTAAAGGAGATATTTTCTGAATAGTTGTAGTAATTATGGGAACATTTGAAGAAGACGATGATGATGATGATGGTGATAGAATATTTGTAATCTGTTGACAAGAATGTTTTTCTAATGACAATCGATCTACTTTGCTATTATTATCATTCGTTTTATGTAAATAATTATTTCTAAAATCTAATCTTTGTTTCATTGTTTTAAATAAATTATCTGCATGATTAATTTTATTATTATTATTCATATTTATGGGCTTCTCAATTTCTTTATGTTTTAATTTTGTTTCATAATGATGTTGTGTTGAACGATCATTTACTGAACTTGCTCTCGGGCGTATACGTGGTGTTGTTGTCGTTGTTGTCAGCTTATTATCTTTTTTATTACAAATGATATTCATTTGTCTCCAACGTGGATATTCTCGTGTCTGTTGTTGTGATATCTGATTAACTGACATATTACTATCTTGTTGATTTATTAATTTGTATGATTTCATTGAATTTTGTGAAGTAAACAATTGTGAATTAGGAAGGAATGGATTTTTTAAAAATGGTTTATAGTCAACATTCCAATTATTGGTTGATTTCCAAAATTCTGTCGAATATTGAATTATAAGAATTGTGGTTTATTATTTTATTCACTTATATAGAACGACAAGTAATTTTTTATCAATCTATTTGTAAACAATTCCAGTAAACTGAATAATAGAATGCATATAAATAAATTAGCATTTCCACTCTGAAGAAGGAGATAAAATCGTTCCAAGTCGGTTGCGAAAATGAACTTAACCCAATCAATATCTGACATTATAACCAGCCCATTACTATGCATGTGACCTTTCGAAGGTTAACTATCTGTATGTTACATAAAGGGAAAATATAGCTACGATGTTTTAAAACACACACCTGCTACTGTTTTGTAGGTGTGTATGTGCATGTATGATAAAACTGTGATTCATTATTGCATTTCAAACCTATTTCTTTTTGTGTATCCATGACTCATTTATGCATACAGCTTTAGGTATGCATCGGCCTTCCTCCCCTTTATCTAATAAACTTTTTGGAATTAGTGATAGTCAAACAATAAAGTAGAGCCAATCCATTACCGAAGAATTGATTTTTTTTTATTAGAGGGAAATCAAACTTTTTCGAGCTAAGCAATTAAATGGGATTACAAAGTTCTATGAAAACATACTTGTTTATTTACCTTAGTGTGTGTAATGATGATTATCAGATCATATGTTGAATGAAGTGAATGTCTACACCTTACTGGCACACAAACAATCAACAGATAGTTAAGGACACACAAACACATGTGTATACTTAAATAAATTAACATGTCATAATAAACTAATTAATAATCCAATGAAAATTTTCGATTTGAAAGAGGGAAATATACAATTAACTCCTCTTGCGACCCACCTGGGGTTACTGCCGTTCGTAAATCTGAATAGAAGAGATGGATTAATAAATCCCCACGAATATGACGTGGCAAAAACTGCGATGGAAAGTCTAAGACATAGTGACTAGGATATACTTAATCATCGACCTATACTCTGAGAGATACTAGGGCTAAGTAATATATATAATATGTAGTAAATATAATTTCTGTGTTCACAACATCCTATTTATCACCAGTTAAATCTTTAAGTCAAATAATATGTTCTTTGTATAATTTTACATTTAAGTGATTTTGAAGATAACTAAGACATTTATTTTTAAAATAACATATACTACTATTACTTAACTTGTACATTCATTCATTCCTTTATTCAAAATTGGAATGTTTCTTCACATTTCAATGTTAGCTTTGATTAGGAACAGATATAAATAGAAGAACCATTGAGAATTGAATTATAGGGAGATGAATAGTTTACTTTCAGCAAAAACTCACTCAAAATATCATATCCACTCAAACTGAAGAATAAACTTCATAATCAATTACCTGATAACTATTTTTTAGAAAAACTTGTGATTGCGCAACTATAATTATTTTAGATCAGTCCTAGCAATTAGACTTAGTAAAATAAAATTAAAAAAAATACAACTAATGTAGTCCTTCTTTAAAAATATATGAAAATCGATACCAGTTGTATGAGAAATGATGATTCGTGAATCAGAAGGAATAATTTATGTCTTTCAGATGAATGACTTAGTTGCCAAGTTTTAATCGGCCTTTCTGTACAACATCATCATTAATGGTGGGAAAAAAAATGAAATGTTTACGATTATACGATTCGGTTCAAATAAATACAACATTACCAAAAGCTTAATTACCTACATCTGATTTCAACTATGTCTTATGTACGAGCAGTACTCTCCATTCCAGTTATTCGTAAGTCATTTTGGTCGTTTTCATATTTACCTCCGATTCGAAACACAGTGTATTCTAGAGCCAGCAGTTTTTCCTCTTCCTTTGAAAATTAAAAGTTAGGGATTGATTTGTGATACAATTTAACGATTTTTGCAAAGTGTTTCCCATCCACCTGCAGAGTCAAATATTCATTTCCTCTTCAATTGAAATCTGGTTTATTTGCTGTTACAATAGGTGTCTAGCCAATGATTCTGGAGTATCTTGCGTAGGTAACTACTAATAAACACTTATACCTTTTTGATGATGGTTGTAGCAATTCCCCAAGTTTCAGCTACTTACGACAGAACTATATTGACGTTTGTATTGAAGTTGGCCGACAGTTGTTGTAAGTTCCACATGTTCTTTAATTGTAGGAGCGCTGCCTTTACCTTGCCAATCTGTGCCCTCTCATCTTCATCAGATCCTTCTTATGTATCAGTGGTACTGTCCAGGTACGTGAAGGTCTCCACATCTTCCAGAACTTATCCACCATATGTGATTAGGTTTGTGCTCGTTGTATTACATTTCACGATCTTGCATTTTCTCTTGTGTATGTTGAGGTCTACTGCTACAGAGGCTGTTGCTACACTAGTTGTCTTCACTTATATTTGTTAGTGTGTATGGAGTAAAAGAGCTAGATCATATGCAAAATCCAAATCGTCTAGTTGTATTCAAACTGTCCACTGTATTCCGTGCATTTCCTGAGATGTGAAAGTTATTTCTATACACTATGTTTTATTTACAGGATTTCATTTATGACTATTCGTTTACAACTTCTTTACATGGAAATCTTTTATTAACACCGAAAACATTTTAACTTTCTGTTCCTTTTTGAAAACATGGACAACATATTTTTTTGTTTATGATGATAATATTGAATTAGAGGATATCTTACACACCTTTAACTCATACCACCCTTCCATAGACTTCACGTTAGAATATGAGCGAGACCAATATATCTTAAAATTATGATAAACTACAATAGTTCGAAACTTAAACAAAATGAGAATTTTCTTAATTTCCAACTCTCTCTATAATCCAACACCAAGGTCAGAATTTTCAATACAAATGTCAAGACAGTTCTACTGTATGGGGCGGAAACCTGGAGAACTACGAAAGCCATCATCCAGAAGATACAAGTGTTTATTAATAACTGTTTACGCAAACTACTTCGGTTCCGTTGGCCAGACACTATCAGCAACAACCTAATGTGGGAGAGAACAAACCAGATCCTAGCGGAGGAAGAAATCGGGAAGAAGCTCTGGAAGTGGATAGGAGACACATTGAAAAAAGCACCCAACTATGTCACGAGGCAAGCCCTTGCTTAGAATCCACAAGGCTAAAGGAAAAGAGGATGACCAAAGAACACATTATGTCGAGAAATGGAGACAGATATGAAAAAAAATTAACAAAAATTGGAAGAACTGGAATGGAAGGCCCAGGATAGAGTAGGTTAGAGAATACTGGTCGGCGGTCTATGTTCCATTGGAAGTAACAGGCGTAAATAAGTAAGTCTCTATCATCCAATTTTTCAGTGTTACCAATTTAATCAATGTATTCATAAAACAAGAATTTATACAGATAAATGTAATTTTATTTCTCAAATAATTCAATATATAAATTAGTTAAATTCTCAGTTTCATATTAATTAACATATAATATCACACTTTCTTTTTTCGAAATTAACTAAATAGTGTTTGCATGTTGATTTGAAGATGATAACATATGCTCAATTAATTTACTTTAAATCAGTTAATACTATGCCAGAATTTGTTTTATCTTATTCAGAAAGTTATTTCTCACAACTTTTTTTCCTTTCTTTTCTTTTTTTTTTATTTAACAAGGATTGTAACAGGATCACAAATGAATTTATAATTTACATATAGTTTATTCAACTACTGACAATCTTTCTGATATTAATTTTTATCATGTCCCAGAGTAAGGTACATTTTCATGAAAATTGTAGACAAACGTTATTGATAAGCGTTAGAAAGCATATTATTTAGGCCATGAGCTTCTACTAGACTAACTCTGTTGCTGTTAGTATCCAAAAAATATGTGTCAGTAATTTAGCCATCATTAATGACTACACTACTTCACCCTAACCACAATATCCACGATGAATTAAACTTAGTTGAAATTATTTAAGAATTTAAACCTCTAATCAATGTGACTTGGATCAGTATGTAAATAATTGTAAAATAAATCTTCATCTACGCGCTTTCTTCTCCTTCTCATTGTCTGGTTATATACCTGCTTGCTTAAGGTTTCCCGAAATAGAAGAATGACTAGTTTATGGCGGAAACTCAACCGCTCATCCAACAGTTATTGATTGACAGTATGAGTCAAATTAAAGAAAACATATTTCCCTCATTATCCGCACCCTTCAACAGCTTGATAACTAACAAATTCTACTACAATACCAATTCACTTAAACTAGTGATCGTATTTCAATGAGATCTATAGAATTTAATGGCGAGACTATAATTTACGGACGAAGCAATCAGATTTAGAATAACATGACTTAGATTTTGGGACGAACTTCAGTCATTCACTTGACTAAACAGCGTTTTGGTATTAGAGCTGATATCAGTTCCTGATGAAAACTATAAATCTAATTCTTAACTCCAACCATCAACAGAAAATTTTAGTCCTTATTCTTCAAACTGCTTTATAACCCTTATTTAACTCTAGTAGGTAGTTGAACATTTTCAAGGCCATCTTAGCGTCGCTCAAAGGTCGACCATAAATTACAATCTCATCAATTTAATGTACACGTCAACGACCAGAAAAACAAAACATCGATTACTACTTAGTTTTTGACTCTACAAATTGATAAAGTTGTAAGAAATCCATAAAATAAGTGGATTCAAATTGTCCTACCAAATATATCATTCGGTCGTAATTTATTAGGGATCGTGTGAAATCAACAAAAAGACTTGTAAAAGTTGCTTATGGTACTGGCTATCCGTAAAATTGCAGAAACTTCTCAGACTGTAAATTACAGTGGTTCAGACTCGAATTATAAAAGGAAGCGTTAGTTCTATGAAGAGTGCAAGCACGCCTCGTTGTCGAGTACCAATTAAGATGAAACCTGGGTTCAGAGTATCCTACCGACTAACACCAAACACCTGACATACTACATGTGATATCGAGTTACTTAGGCTAGTGGCGACCTTGAAACCTGAGTGGTTGTATTCGATCAGCACCACTAACAAGGTATTGGTTACTACTCGGTGATC